CCAGTTATCATGCACGTGTAGGACCGGTCAGTCGAATTCAATAGCATGTTCCTGTGACCCGAGTGAGTGCTATGCCAACGTGGTTGGTTTTGTTGTAATAACTAAATTGTTCCCAATTCGTTCAAGAACACAGTCGCCCGGTCTCACCGACATACTTCGCCACAGCTGCAGGAACTTCGTAAAACGCCTCCGCCTGGAGAGTAGTAAAGCATCTGTAATGCCGTACCAGGGTCTTGCTGCAGTTTTGTCGGAGCTGTAAAAACTGTCCGGATTGTTGTTCTTTCCGAAGCAGTTTCCACGCATCCGTGACGCTCGGACATACGGAAGCACGGCTTAATCTAGTACTGGTCCTCTCCTCTTGTCTCGGGATTAGCGTGGAGGCCATTCGTCGTTGTTGCAAAGCTTCGAAACCCCGTGCCCTTTGGGCCCGTGACACGAGCGAGCGCTGCTGATACAATCGGAGAGCCGTAGCTCTAAAGTGTGTTCAAGCTTCTCGATTCCTCATGGAGGGAGCGCTCGTCGCCACACCTTCAAGAGCTCTTGTAAAACATGTCTTCAAACACCCCTATTTTTGTAGCGGATGTGATGCGAATCGCGTGAGGTATCTATCCGTGTGGGTTGGTTTACGGTTAGACGAGTGTCCCAAGGTGCGTCTATCCCGTTTTGACTGGACGAGGACGTCCAAGAAAGGTAGGCAATTGTTCCATTTCAGTCTCATTGGAAACTTAATCGTCCTCCGTCTGAATCCTCAGGGTAACAGTTATGAAAATTCCCTCAAAGTCAGTTGCGCTCCGTGTGGCCAGATTACAAAAGTGTCGTCCACATACCGGATCATAGGGACGCGTTTTATGGCGCGTCCGTAAGCTTCAGTCTCGAATGCTTCCAGAAAAATGATTGGCAGCGATGGCGTGATAGCGACCCCATAGCCGCTCCTCCACTTGTGCGTAGAACCGGTCTTGTTATTGAAAAAAAGTGGAGTTAAGGCAGAAAGCAAGCGAAGATCCGCCCATTCAGTCGGCTGGCTCCGTTCCTGCTAGTTTTTTGTCGGGATTCACTTCCACCGGCGGCCTCGTTCACTGCACTTTAGTGAACAGAGAAGGTCACGTCGAAGCTGACAACAGGTCACCACTGTTGAGCCTTTGTGTTGAATGATCTCTACGAAATGTGACGATTCCTCACAAGCAGAAGCGCATGTCTTAAGCTAGCGGGCGAGGTGATCGCCACGAGCTTTGCAGACGTGGGCGAAATGATAGGCGCTGACGATGGGGCGTGTAGGGCACGTCGTCTTGTGCACTTTCGGAGCGTAAATCTGGGCGTCGACGAGTATGTTGCGACACAAACGCCAGCTTTTTAGTAGCCTCTATGCATTTTGAGTTCGATCCGCGCGCGGTCTCCTTTTTCAACCTTATTCACCAGGTGTGTTCCAGTAACGTTTACGTAGTAAGTTCATCCCGCAAGCATACAAGCACCTTGTCGAGCCAACAGAGGGACCTCTCGCCAATCACGCGCACTTGCGTTGCCCGACCACTAGCTGAATAAGATATAACACGGAGGCGAGCTTTACTATGTCAGACCTGAAGAATGCTGCCGACATGACAGGCGAAACGTCGGCCTATCTGCCAACGACGCGGCGTCACCCGGACAGCCTAGAAGTTATACTTGTTTTGAGAGCAGTACATGTGTGCAGCAGTAAACTTTAGGTCATTGTTGGGTGAAAAGAGACATTATTTAAGGTACTTTGTATATTCCTTTTACATTTTACGGTGAATAAATAACTATGACCAACTTCATGCCTTTGTAAATAAAAAGTTTTTTTTTTCTCTTAAAACCAATTAATAACACTTGATGGAAATATAAAAACAATCTGCTGCACATCAGTAATGCAATATTTAAAAAAAATTTGAGATGAAAATTACATGTTCTACAATAAAACTTCATATCACAAACCTTCATCTTTTGTTTAAACTGCTAGAAGTTTGTTTAGAAGGATCCGGACAGATCTCATCATCAGGTTGAGGAATTTCGATTTTAACAATCTGTTGCTCAGCATCAAACTGTAATTCTTGATGCCAATCTTCTTCAATAATCTTTTCTGTATACATCACAAAGTTCTTCCATCTGCAACAAGATACAACATTAGTGAATGCATCATATCAATGTTTTCTTAAAAAATTTACTGAACAGCAATAACTCACTTTTCAGCAGTCACTTGTTGTAATGCTTCTTTCCATTTTTCCATATTACTGTTATCTGCACATCGTGTTTCTCTAATGCTTTCATAGTATCTTTTACAATCTCTCCACACCAACCCAATAGGGTTATAGTGACAGTGGAAGGGGGGCAGACGTAGAACCTGGTGTCCAGCTGTTTGGATAATGTCATCCACTTCATACCTGTACATGTCGTACAATCTTCACAGTGGGTCTTTTAAAAAAATAACACATAAATGCATTGTGTACAATTTGATGAACATAAGTTACAGTCAACTCTGGCAATAGTGAACTTCTGGGGATTAACATTTTTGGTTAACTATATCTGAGGATATCAAAATTAAACAAAATTTATCCATTACGTTTAATTTTATTGATATAGAGATATAGCAAAATACATTAACAGCAGGAACAGACAATTTTAATATCTTGATTTTTAAGGACAAATAAATTTCTTTTCAATTGTTTGCTACCTACTTTTTCTTTAGTAATCTCTCTAGATCCTTCTCCATTGTTCGTGCTCTCTCCATAATTGATTCTATGTTGTCCTCTGTGTAGGGGTGGATCCAGAGACAAATTTTGGGAAAATTCAAAATGTTTTGGTCGAATGAGTTATATTACAGATTTTGTAAAATGTTGCAGGCTACACCCAGCTCATGCTGTCATACGATTTTATTTGTTTTAATGATTATCTGAAAACATTTTAGCGTGAAAGTTTTGTGACAATTTAAAGTTAAAAGTTACTAAAAAATTTTAGGTGGGGGAGATTTTACATCCCTCCCTTATTTCCCTCCACGTGGATCCGCGCCTGCCACTGTGTCTTAAGTATCGTAATATAGTCTTGACACTCTTCAATGCCTCTTGCACTGTTGGAATCACGTCCCATCACTGAAGGCCCTTTTACTCGCCTAATAATATACAGGACGCTTTCAGTAGTGGGATGGTGCAGGTGGCAAATGAAAAAGATCGCTTTTCCGCATACCACGGCAGATATCGCAAGGCTGTGATAGTAGTGTGTTTGTGACAGTCGTGTGCTGCATGGATCTCAACACTCTTTGACCTAGGGAATATCAAAATTGATACTGAAGTAAGCAATCGCGTGTTACTGCCGCCGCTAATTGTAGCCCACGCAGGATACCGCCTTTGTTTCCGCAGGGGATACTAATTCTCATATGGCCTTCGGCCAACATTTTTGAAGCTGGCTAGTGTTGGAATTTGTGGCACTGAACGGATATATTCTTTTCCAGAAAGGAATTATTTTCTAGGATGTTGTATTTCCTACTTTCACTACAGCCGAGGTTCAGGTTCACTGTAACCAAGTCTTCTTATGCCTATTTGTAATGTAAGTGAAACGGTACCAGTGATTTAAGTTCACTGTAACCGAGGGTTCACTATAACCAGAATCTACTGTATTTATGTCATTTACTGATAATAAATTGGTTTTAATCACACTATTCTGAAAGGATTAATAATGAAAACCAAGTTCTCAGTGTATTATCTCTCTGTCTGTAGACTTCAGTTTTCATCCAGCTCCACATCTACATGTCAGTTTCGTTAAAATTTAAAATTGTCTTCTACCTACACTTCAAAACCTGCCATGGCAAAATAAAAATGATTAAGACGTATATGAATTTAGTGCATCTTTCTATTTGTTATTATGAAAAGTAAACTACTCCCAAATATTGATATTTCAAAAATGTTTCCTAATAAGATAAAAAAAATAAAAATACTTGAAAAAATATGTTAGACTTATAAAAAAAACAAAGATTTGACATTTTCTCAAAACCTGTGTTAATTGGGGGGATGGGGGTGGGGGGGACACATGTTTCAAGACTGTTGATGTAAATACTTTTGGAAACATTCCAAAGATAATGAAGTTTCTTGGCTTAAAGTACCTCTAGATACTTTAAGCCAGAAACTTTTACAGGACACAGCTTTCACCAATTGTTTGCTTCTTTACTTGCATTTGCATGTGTTGACACATTCTCTGGTGCGTGCAGACTTTACTAACATTCAAGTTCCAGGCTCTTGGCGCAGGTTGCCCCGCACCTCACCGGGATCATCTGAATGTTATAAGATCTATAAGGGACTTTTATTATGAACGTATAAGTATGAAAAACGTAAAAAACGCATAACTCAAATAATTTAGCATGAGAATTATAGGAATTTATCTGAGACTTATCCCCCTCCCCCCCAAAAGAAAACAACAACATATAAACTTGAAAACGTGTAAGTGAGGAACGATAAACAGTATATCTCAACAATTGTAGTTTTCCATACGTATGGTTGTAACCCTGAGTTAGGGCTGGATTAACCCTTGCAGAGGCCCGGAGTAGTCTTCATGTGGACACTCTCACAATTACAGCATTTTAGGACAAATGCCTTTTTAGTTCTCTTAGGAGGTTGTGAAAAATAATTCCAGATATTTAAAAATCATGAAAAAATAGAGCTACTGAAAGCATCTAACAGTGCCTAAGATGTCCTAAAAGGGTTTTATTTGTCTTTGCCTAAAACAAGAAATTTTGAAGGATTATCATATTTTAATTACTATTTTTTTATATTTCTTATCCAAAAATGCATTCCAGAATTTCCCAAAACGCTAATATTCCCTCATAGAATATGCAATCGACTACACACCAAAAATCTCTCACCCAATACACTGAACAAAAGGAGCTCTGCAAGTAAATATAAAGAGGAAGTTTCACGCTCATCTCTGATCAGCATGCACTCTTTAATCGATTACACCCATTCCAATGCAGCAGAGTTCTTGTCAGGTTGAGAATGGAAAGGGTTTTAGATAACTTTTAAGAATAACTTTTCATGCTTAATGTTTTTAAATGCCTGGTTTAATAATTTTGACACTGATTTTAAGTTACTAAACTTCACTTTTCGTGCCTAATTTCATAATTTTGTTGCCTAAATCTTCACATTTTTGTGCCTAAAATTCCGAGGTCATTCCAAACACAAGCACATAAAAAAGGATACCAGTAAAACTGATTTTAGGAAATATTACTGGCTACAAGAATATCAGTTGCCTCTCTCAAGTGCATTCTTACGGGATTCACGAGGGTTTTTTGTGGGCATCAATCTCTTATAGCTTTCATCTCTTATGAGAATAAAAGGAAACGTGTGGCATTTGATCACCTTCATCACTAACTTTTTCTTCCTTTCTTAAAGTTTTCTGTCTTGGTTATGTGGGGGTCTTCCTTTGAATTTTTGTGAAATGCAGGGCCCCTCTCTGTCCACTCAATGTTTAATCGGGGCCTGCCAGGAGTCATTTATTTAGCAGCCAAAGGCAATTTGTTTACATTCCTAGCCATGTCTAATGAACTATCTTTATGAAATTTTTGCTTGTAAAATAGACTATTTTCTAGACGTTTTTTAGTTTTATCATGTTTAACATGCACCCAGGATGTGTAAATACATAGAATAAATCCATTTATTTCTGCATTTACCTTTCCTTGACCACGATAGTTAGAGACAGATGAAGAAGAACCTGATAAGTAGATTCTGGATGAAATGATACATTATGAGCAGATAGGAAATCTCGCAGGGCATCTTTGCTCCATGTGTTTGAAGGCTTCTTCGGCATCTAGAAAATCCAGATATTTGATGAAAACGATTAAACATTAGAATGTCACTGAAAAGATAAATTGAGATTCTTTTCTTGCTTTTGATATACTAAAAAAAATGTAAATTAATAATAAAATTAAACTTAGACCATAATTTAACTGAAAGCCTTCAAATAAGATAGAAAATTCTGCCAAGATAACACACAAAATTGTATTGTTATCATAAATATCTATAATATTAAGAACATATACTTTTGTGATTTGTAATGTGAATTTATTACAGTAACAACAATTGTATTGCCAATAGCAGGTTTATATAATCAGTTAAGTTTTATCTACATTTGAATTAACGAATAATAATTTAAAATTCCAGAATAAACCAACATCATCTGCCACACACCGGGAAATTATGAATAGATGAATTATCCATTATAATGATCGATGGTTCTTTTAGTTTTGGTAGCAGTTTCTCCTTGATCCACTTATTAAACATTTCGGCTGTGATAGTAGCTTTAGAGCTCTCTAATACACATTCAGCCCCTTCAATAAATCCTTTTTCACCTCCGGCATGTAAAACAACATTTTCTTGTATTTCTTCATCAGAATCCTCAGAATACTCATTGGGAGCATGCCCTAAAAGAAAGGGTTGGAAATTGTAGGTTACAAATTTAGCACATAAATATATTCAAGACCATTATGTCATAAGCAATTTATGGTGCTTTTATGAATTTTCTACGCAACTGCATCTACTCTAATTCCATAAATAACAATTCAGAACAAATGGATCATAAACATTGTATTCTCTTTTACACAGTGTTTAATACTGCCTTTCCTTCACTTACCTTGTGAATAAAATGAAGTCTCGCCCAAATATACAAATGAACTACCTTGCTTTTTTAATGAAGTGAATGCACATAAAAAATTACTTCTTTGAAGAGTAATTTCCATATTTTCTTTGAGTACATCACATTTTTGTTCTTTATTCCACTTTTCTTTAAATCCCATGGAAAGAAGTATCATTCGCAAATAAATATCACTTCCTGAAAATCCTATGTCTTTATTACCCTTCACTACTGGTAAAACTGACATTATTGAAGTCCGTTCACCTGTGAACAAAATGAAAGAAGAAGAAAAAAGTAGAAAATAGCAAATAAATGTACAAAATTATTTAATTTAAGTTGTTTAAACTCACCTCTCTGATACATCCTGTATATAATATTTCGAATTAAACCCTGTCCAAAATCATCCACATCAGCTCTGCCTTGATTCAAAACCCTGTTAATAACAAATCCAACATAACTCAACCACACAATACACTAACTAAAATTTATTACATAATTTAATTTCTAAATTTTTCCTCAAATTTTAATGAACTTGCTTTTAACTGATATGATAATCCTGTGACTTCAAAAGTACTTATTATCGCAGTTTTATTCACTTGCCTGCTCATTTGTCCACATTAAGGTAACTCTTTAACTGAAAATGGTGCAAAATGATGAAATTTGCAGTTATTCTTTTTTCATCAGTCAATATTCTCTGATTTAATTTCTTGTAAATGCTTCAAACCATTTTTGACTATCTGCTTCAATTTTTGAGATATTTTAGTTAGTCACTTATGCAGTAGGAGCTTTGAACAGTCAGTAAAATTTAAATGATTTTTCACCCAAATATTTTGAGATCATCACAGCTAATATGGTATGTATCAACATTATTAGAGATAATAAAATGACATTTTCTTTAAGTTGTAGATTACAGATTTCTCTAAGGAATGAACACTAATAGTTCATCTACCATTTTAACCTTTCCTTCTAGAGCTCTTTGATCTCTTCAGATATTTTCAAAAAACCATTTAAATCAGTTGTTCAACTGTCTCGTAAATAAAGTAATCATTACAATATTTCTTTGATTAAGTCCATTCCCTAGAACATTGTTTTAATTATTTTGCAAACGGGAAATTTAATTATTTTAAATATTTCCAAGATATTGCATTTTCTGTTATATAAAGCAGTGTGTAAGTCAGAATTTTTATATTATTTTTTGTTTTTCATGCTTATTGTTCTTAAGAGACAACATTTAAACAAATTTAAATTGAACAGGCAATGGATTCTAAATATTTTTCTTTCAGCTTGAGCAAATTAAAATATAAATTCTCCGGGGTAAGTGACACTCAGCCACTGCCATGTTAATGCAATTATTTACCCGTTCTTTATGTTATGTTAGAACAAATTGTCTGTTAAATTGAAAATAAATAAATTGATAGGATTTTCTGTATATTTCAGAATCAAAACTGTGGGGGTGGGGGTGGGTCGAGAAGTAGATCGGTGAAGGAGTGGATCGGTGAAGTAAGAAGGAGGGGGCCTGAAATTAACCTAGGCCCAAATCTGTTAAAACGACCCTACTTTCGGCAAGTGGCAATTCTGGCTACTTACTTTACAACTCGGCTGATAGGATGATTCATCATTAACGCAACTTTCTCCGGAATGGATCCTCTTAAAACCGTCCACAATGAACGTTCTTTTTTAATATATGACGCCACATTGAAAATTAAGTCTCGACGGTCATCGCACACATAATCATCATCATCATCAAGAGCACCATCTTCCTCCTCCTCCAATTCCTCAGAAGGTGTCGATCGGCTTTCCGTGTCATCGGGCACACAATCATTTTCTTCCTCAATGTTTGGCGATCGGCATTCCATTTTTGCGCCGGAGTAAATTGAAAGTTCTTCAATTAAATGTCAATGTAAATTGATTCTTATAGAAGCTAAGCGGGATACAATAACATCACCGACATACACTATAAAGCAAATGATTGACAAACCGCTGTCCGGACTGCTTCGAACTGAGAACTCAAACAAAAGGACCGCCTCGGAAGCACATGGAAGAATACCGCTAAAAAACTGCACAAGCACTCATACGGTGCTTTGTCAATGGACACTTTCGGTCTTTGTCCGTGCCCGCCTGCTGGTCCGCACAAAGAGTATACATGGGCACGGTCGGGTCCGGCCCTCCGGCCACTTTACTTACTCCCTGGGCCCGCCTTTTATCCCATAACCAATGTTGCCAATGTCGACATTGAAAAGGAACTAGATTCGTTACAAAAACAAACCATGTTTTAGCATCATACAATACAATGGATTACATTTTCGTATTTTTCTTAAACATTTTCTTTCATTCACGTTCTTCTCCTCCATAGTACCAAGGAAGAATAATTATAGAAGTGGAGAAGTGGTTCCCAACCTGTGGACCAAGAATAAATATGGCGACACCATGTGACTTTCAAGGCTGGTGAGAGCAGCACTATCGCCTCTGCGTGGCAAGCATTAAGTCTACCGGAAGTCCTGTAGACATCGTGCGTGGTGGCAAGTATCACCATAAATTAACACCTTTCTATTCATCCATGGAATCTATTAACATCTATACTGCGATTTATGCAACTCTGCCCCTGGCAGGAATCAGCTGTTGACAGTATCATCCAATCGAGAGCTTGAACGTCACCAGAGTGCCGTCCCTATGATGACATTCAAGCTCCCGATTGGATGAAACTGTCAACAGCTACACGCCAGGGAGACTTGCGTTAAAATACGGTACGTGTCGATTTTTTTTCTTGTAATTTGTTGAGATCATGCTTTGCTGGCAGCTGTAATAATTTTAAAACGTTTTTGTTTTGTGTAGATTCACTATCTAGAAGTGAGATGTTATATTTTTCTAAAATATTTTCTCACAATAACCAAGTTGTGTGGGGTAATAGACAGAGGCAAATTATAAGTTTTTGCTCGAATACCGGAAAATGCATTTATATAGTTATGTTTCGAATTTAATTAACCCCTTAAATTTTGAGAATTGCAAAAATTAAGATATGTCTAGGTTATATCTCACCTCCAATATTAAAGAGGGATTTTTCGCATCGCAATTTATCCTTCAATTGTAGATTTTTATTAAAATAAAGGGTACAATTTTTATCCACTTCATACCCCTAAGAGGAAGAAATGTTTACGTGTGGTGCTAATCAACACATATTTTCCCTATTATTTTCATTATTCATTACTTCCTACTTTTCATCCAAAGTTCAACGAAAATGAGACCTATACCAATTTTTAAGCGTTTATTATTTAAGGTAAAAATTGAACAAAATTTGTAGCAGTTTTTGGAAGGAAAAAAAAACAACAAAAATTTGTATTAACTTCAAGCAGAAATTATGTGAAAACTACTTGTTAAAGAAATTGTATATGACATTATTCAAAGACCTGATTTTTTAGAACATTTCATTTGATAAAAACATCTCTATTGGATAACCGCTTCCAGCTGATCGAACGTCAGAAGTCGATATATTGCGCAAGCGATGACTGCGGACAGACGGATAGAAAGACGTGATTTGCCGTCAATCAATCACGTGCATCCCACAAACCGTGAATTCCGACTACTAGTGTTAGAGACGATGGGGATTTACTACACATAGGACCGAGATTAATCAGTGGCTAAGCCTGAGACTTTTGCGTGGTCATCGATGAATTTGCGCCATGTCCAGCTCTATCTTCCTAAAGGGGCAGGGGTGGAGTCGCAATCTCGTAGTGATACTGTTGTTTAAAAACCCAAAACCACAGTTTTTGTCGATAAATCTCCATGGCTCCCTTAAAAACTTTTTTTTTTTTTGAAAGTAAATGCATCCAATCCAACAAATGTGAAATGAAATAATTATTTGAACATTCGTTTGGTATTCGATTAAAATTCGTTCTGATTTTTGCTTGTTCTACAAGAGCCGCGTGCCCCTTTCACCCAAAACGCGTCTGCATTCGACTGAACGGTCCCAGCCATTTCAGCATTCCGCTAGTCGTGATGGGGACAGGTCATGAGGTCATGGTTCATTTTTTTAAAAAACAGTTCCAAATCGGAATCGATATTTTGAGTATTGCCTCAAACAATTTTAAAATCGTATTCGAAGGAAGACGGAAATATGTGAAAAATATAGTTACGTACTACTATTAGAGACCGTTTACCTCAGTCAGTAATAGTAGTATAGCATCTCTAACTTGGTATCTTTGGAAAAATAGACTGAGATGCAAAGAGACGAAAGCCGAAACCGACTGTCTCGCTTGCGTATCCCGCAAGTCCCGCCTGCTCCGCCGAGGCTGGCCGCACGCCGCCTGGCCTGGTCGTGCCCCCGCGCCGACAGAGGGCTCACAACAATCGGGTGGGTGACGTAACGGTGAAGAAGGGAAGGGGGGGGGGGCGAGGTGTTTTCGTAAATTTCACTTTACGACGCTCCTATTCGTCCGATTTGCATGATTGTCACGGCGTTGGATTTAGGAAGCATGTCGCCATCGCGCTATAAGCCCACATTTTTAAATTTTTTCTCGGAAGTTTGAGAACTAATTTCAAATTCAAGATTTTGCTAGATTTTTGGAAAAAGGGCTTCGTAGCGTAAATTCTATTTTAAAAAGGCGTCAAATGCCATTTACAGATCGAAAATCGGACCATTGGTTCAGACGTTATCGGTAAAGTAAATTTCCCTGTGATAGTACTGCGATCTATTGAATTTTCCTACAAGTATTTTTCGGTGCATTTAGCCTTAACGGCGAGAGAGATTTCAAAAAAATTACATGTGTATTTTTTTGAAGAAAAAAAAAATGCTTCAAAATGAACTTCATGTATTAAACAGTGTAATTAGTACCATCTGTTGGAAAGGTTTGAACAAAAAAATTGAAGCAATTTTTGAGTAAATGGCGTTTGAGCGTTTCTGAAAATCCGGAATTTGGAGCTTATTTTCACATAAAACTGGCGAGTTTTCGAGAAACTTTACTTGACATTATTTAAAGCACATGCAATCGTAAATACAATAATGTGAACAAATTGCTGATAATGTAAATATTAATGATGTGAGAAACTAGTACAAAAAATTACATTTTTGTAACTGTCATAATAATTTATGTCATGTTATAGAATACACTTTAAAATGTAATTTCCATTGAAATCTCAACATTACATAACTTTACACTTAACACAGCATTACATAACTTTCTCTATATTTTATATATTACTCTGTATATACATACATATACCAAGAAAGAAAAAAATGAAACTTCAGAATTCAAACCTTTTGTTTTTCATGTTTCCAGATCTTTAAAATTGATATCAATTACAAGCACCAATAACTTTTCACTTCTTATCTACATGTAAGAAAATAAAGAAGGTAAAAAAAGTTTAAATGTATACTTTTATTGAAAGTGAAAATATAATAAAATATGAGATTTTGGTGTTGACATCTTAGATGTTGATATCAAGTAATGTCGATTTCATTTCTGATGCAGCGTGACAACTTATTCTTGATGTATTTTTTATTGCAATCATGAATATCCTCTTTCCGGTGTGTTCAATTTAGATGAAAACTGTAATCTTCAAGAGTATATACAATTAATGCTGTTTTTGAATAAATAATAAAAACTTAATTATCATGACCAAAAGTAATTTAAAAAATTAAAATCATTACAAAAAATTCAATAATTTCTTACCTAGCTCTTTTAATGTGCATAATTGTAATTATATAATTTTCAATAATTATCCATATCTAAAACATATTTTTAGTTTTCAAAAGATAATAATCTACATATTTTGCATGCATTAATTTGCATTAATTATGAAGATTAATGTTTCTTCATTTGCAAGTTTTAAATGTTTTATAGTCACAATTTTGCCATTTTGTCCCCGTAAGTGAAAGTTTTTTCTACAAGTGATGTTATCATTAATTGCATATGTATCGATTCTATTCATTGCTTGAAGTTCCAATTGAATTCATTCAGTTTCAAATTTTTTGTTAGTTAACATTATTTCACATCTTGTAAAAGCTGGGGATATCTCTTGTACATTTCTATTCAGAAAGATAAGTCCGTATTTTGCTTCTTTTACCATGGATTCATAGAAGCAAGGTCTGTGCTGTAAATACCAAAATTAGATATGTACACACATGTGATATTCTCTACAGTAATGAAGTCTCAGACAATATTTAAAAATGAGGTGTGTAATGAAATGTAATCTGTTCAGAATGTGCTACTTTACTCTTTTGGGTTGGCAAGAGTTTCCTCTTGATAGTATTTGAATAATTTGTAATCAAGTTTCAAAAACAAAATTTATTCAGTAGCTGCAAAAGTATTAGTGGATTCACTTCCAAGAATAAAGAAGCAAAGAATTCTGATGTCTTGTTGCACCCAAAGGAAAATGTATAACTTGAGAATAATTGTTAAATTTTTGCAAATTCATCAGAATTGTTTCCAATGTTATGGACATTTCTAAAAAATTGTTTATGCATATAATTGAGGGGATTAAAACCAATGTTGTGTATGTCATCAATTGACTTAAATTCTGAAAAACAGTGTTCAGTTACAGCATATTTTATTTCAGGACTTTACTAAATTATTTAAAAAAATATGACTTGCACATTTTGCTTTAACCTCAATTGTTAACAGAACTCCCCTTTTCAACCATATTTCTTCTCTAATCTTCCAGAAATTGAGAAAACACCTGGGAATGAATGCTGAGAACGTCCTTTGTTCCTATTCAACAAATATAGCTAGCTTTATTCAACCCTTACATCAGAAGTAATATAAATTTACAGTGGGTTCAAAAAGTGGGATTTCGACAGTTTTGTTCTTTGGAAGAGTGAAAGAAAAGAAAAAACAACTACATCTAAATGCTATTTTTCTTTCAATTTCTCTTCTTGAAATACAGTTTTCGTATGTTCGATCTGTTATATTTAACATACGAAAAAACGTATGTAAAATATTTTTCAATACTTTAAGCACATTTTTACATGTTGCCATGTATTACAAGGCTGGATTTTTTTTTGCAGATGACAAGGTGCTTAAAGGTGTTTTAAACATTTGCTGGTATTATTCGGACAACTTTTCTTGAATGATGAACTTGCTTCCCCCTCTCTGGCACAATAAACAGTTGAAGGCAAAAGCTCACAGCAAGCACTGATGACAATATTCCAAACACATCTTCACAGGCGCAAAATAGAAACTATTTTTTTTGAAGACGAGAACTTTTGTCCGTGATTTTCTCCAAAAAAAATGTACAGAAATGATCAGTACAGATAATATTAGGTTGGCTTGACAATTGATAAGGAAAATAATAAAAAACTTTGGGGAGGGAGTGGAGAGAAAGTATTCCAGGATTAAAAACATGATAAATATTAATTTTTGAAAACTTCCAACACAACAGGAATTAAGGCCTTTGGTTTTGGGACATTGATAGGTATAGGATTTTTTACAGCGCAACATTATTCTTGTTTTACCACATCAGCCACTTCTACCTAATTTTCACACTCAACTCTCAATAGAAGTTGTGATTTTACTAAATACAATAGTTTTAGAATACTGATCATTATACAAATTACAGTAACAAACATAATTACTATTAATGCATGTATTACATTGAATGCATATTTCATTGTTCTGTTCCCATAATTTCAATATCAATTATTAATTTAAAAGGCACTTGAGCATATATTTGCTACATCTGTTTGTACTTCAATAATACAACATACTCCCTATTGATTGTGTACTAAATGTTGAGTACAGACAGTGTAAGAAAAGTTGAAAAAGGTATCGAGGATCTTAAGCCTGAACAAACAGAAAACTCATTTAAACTTAACATATTGCAGTGCAAAAGCATATAATCATACACATGCATCTACATTAATTTCAACATTTAATCCCTTTGTATATTCTCTTCTGTTTGATGGGCCAGGAACTGATCGCAAGTAGGCAAAAAGGGTGGACCCAGCTCAGGATTTTTTTTCCTTTCTTTTTTAATCTCCATTTATCAAAAATGAATGTGCATTGTATTGAATTATATTATTTTCTTTATCAAATTACATTAAAATTTTCTGTATTGCAATTAGTGCCAAATTCACATTAAATAACATACACAATATTGACATAGCTTGTGCTGCATTTTTGTGGCAAACCGATGATGATGATTAATTTATTATTTTTTCTTCACACAACATAAATTCTTTGATGTATTTATAGTGCTTAAAACTTGCAATTAGTTAACAAACAATGCAGGCACTTATTTCAGTCTCAGTGATAGTTAAAATAATATAAGTCCCGAGGCAGATAGTCTGCGACTAGATATGACATATTTCCTCTCTCTTTCTTCCTGTCTTTCCCTTTTATTTATTAAAATTTTATTTTATTTAATATAACCTTGAATATCAAATAGAAACTTTTTACTGGAGAAAAATAAACATGTACTTGTCCTGATGAAACAGAAACCCTTCTTTCACAAAGCAAACTTTCATATACAACGAAAGTGTTCAAAAAAGATAAACTCACTATCTCTCAATTTATTTCTCATGGGAGTAACAAAATAAATCCTACTCTAATACAAACAGTAGCTTCAGCTTCTACAAAGAAGGAACGGAAAAAGAGAAACATTGATGGTGGTCAAACTATGTCCACTTTGGAAATGCTACATTTTAAAATATCTCAGATTGATATCTTCCAGCATGAGATTCTCAACAAATGATCTAAAAATTCTCAGAATAAATTAAATTAAATTCAGGAAACAGTAACATATTCAAATATTGTCTTGTATCTCAAGGCATCTTTAAAACAGAAATAGGAGATTCAGGTGTTATAGTATCTGCCTACATTTTCTTGAGGTGTCATTTTGCTAGATGTGAGAGCTTTATGTCTGTGTATGTGCATGTGCGTGCTCATGTGCATGTCTACATGCGCATATGCATACATGCATGCATGAATGCGTGTGATTATTTTGACAACAGGTCTTTTAAAGTACACGTGTAGCTCATTTTTGATGCAAAATAGTACTTTACATGGTAGCAAACCTTTCTGGTTACCAGATTTTGTCAACATTTGTTGCTATCATTTATTCTTAATTCAAATAACGTTTGTAAAGTAGTAAGGGCAAGGTATTACAGGCTCAAGAAAACATGTTTATAATAATGAATTACTAAGATCTCCTTCTGATACTTTCCGACTTCTTTAAAAATAAAATGAAGATTAAAGACTTCATAAGTCTAAACAAAATTATCACAGATTAACAATATGGTGTCTAGTATCTAGAACAATAACAAGAGCTACAATCTTCACATTTCAGAATGAAGTATTAAATAACACAAAATTGTCCATATGACTCGAGAGTTTCTCTTGGGTGAGGTTTTGGTCCTTCGGTTTCAATTTTATAGTTATGTATCTTGCTTCTATTTTTTTAAAGCATTCAACAAAACCAAGAATGCAAGTTAGTATATTTTACTAATAGGAATGTGAAGACAATTAACTAGGCAACCAGATGGTTAAAAAATGATTGCATTGTAAATAAAAAATAAAAATCACTGTGCTTAAGGCAAGGATGGAAAAAACATTAGAATACATAGATACTGCTCCAGAATTCAAGGTTCATCATTTTGAACTAAAGTGGACACAGGTGGAACAGCATATGATTCAACAGTTTCTTTGTGGAGATCACATCTAATTACTACAACAGTATCACCAATGGTAACAAAGCTGTCTAAACCATCATACATAATGAAACATTTTTGAGGTAAATCATCCATTCTTAGTGTACTCTTGCAGATTTCAAATATTTCCTTTTCTGTCAACAACTCAAGTTGCTCTCGGTCCCAAAAGTGTTTCTGGAAAGAGAGTGGATTATCCATTGTGAACGGTGAAACCACATTCTTTAAAGGAATGCTCTCTCCTGACCCTTCATTTAAATTCATTCCTTGCAACTTGTTTGCAAAAGATGTGCTAAATTCTTCTTCATACATGGACTCTAAGACACTTACACTGTCACTTCTTATCTGACGGTCATATGAGTTCAGAGCAACCTCCTCTATTCCTCTGGATTCATGTCTGTGCATTTCATATCTTCTCTGTGTAGCCAAAATTCTCTCCTGAATATGCAAAAGCAATTCCTTCAAAATTCTGACAAGAGATGAATATTTTTTCAGATTCAATGAATCAAATATATTTTTGGCAAAATCAATAATCATTTCCCAATAAATCTTATCTGTTTTTAATAAAACACTACATACAGACACAAGTTGTATGAAATCAACATTTTGCAACTGCCATGACATTTGGGTTCTCTCTGATGAGACAGCAAAAAATGACTGGATGAGATTATAAATGTATATCAAGGAATCTGGCCTAAGTAGAAATTCCTCAAACAGTGCAAGACAAAATTGATAGCAAGACATACCATCAAACGGTATTTCATGTATAGCAAACTGCAATAATGACAGCACAAACAGTTTCTCACCATTGTATATACAACTGATCAAGAAACGCACAAATTCACTTACAAAAGACACAATGTGCATCAAATCCAAGCCACGGGCCTTTCCCATAATCTGAAAGAGGGAGTCGCAGAGTTTCAAAATAACTTTTCTGATTGGTTCTGTAAATCTCATCAATAGTCTTCTCAATGAAAATTTCTCATATTCATTTAGCAAAGATTCCCAGTGCTCAAAACTATGCATTTGAGTAATATTGCCGTGGGAAAGAAGAACTGCGTGATTCTGGTTCACAGCTTCAGCTTCAGGTAGTAACGATGCAAAATATTCATCAGCCGTGTTGATATGTTTGATATTTCGTATTATCAAAGCTTTTCCTCCAACTGAACCTTTTAGTTTTGTTGTGCACTTCACAGATGCACGGAACATTATTCTCTTCCATTTGCTTCCTAAACTGTTCCCGCAGTTTTCAATGACCTTATCCTGTGATTTCTCAATAATGGAACGAGCAGTTTTGAAGTTAACTGTAGCATGACAGAAGAGGAGAAGAGATGCAGAGAACTGAGCAACATCCAGGGCACTCAACTGTCCCTCTTTGAGTTTTGCAATGAGTTGGTGCAATCCATTGGCAATGCCCACACCATTTATTAATAGAGCACCACCATTTAAAACTGTAACAGCTGATGTGGTAGTCTTTCCCAACACTTGGCCTGACTGGGCCATGCGGACTGTCATGGATGTAGCTGCAGTGGCGCCTAAACCCAGGGCACCACCTGCGATGGAAATGTAACAGCTTCTTGCTTCCTTGTCTCCCAATCCGATATCTTGTTTGTGCTTCTTGCGATCATACAGCTTTGTTGATGAGCGATAAGTGGAATAGACAGATACACCACCAGCAGCCCATGCTGAAGCCGCGACAAATGGGGCAGCCACAGGAAAAGCAAGTGAGGCAATTGTCAAGGCACTGGCTCCCAAACCAACCCCTGTACTAAGAGCATCCAAGGCATTCTGAACTTTTTTGGATGTCTTAGATTCAGGTGACTGTCCAAATTCAATTGCAGCATTCCGATAGGAATTATACTTATATATTCCATCCTTGGGATAACAATATTCATGCGCAGGTAGTTTGTTGCTTTCTAAAAAGTCTTTCCAGTTTCCGTACACCCTACAGCTTATGTCAATAAAAGAAGCATTTATACCTGTATCATCTTTTGGTACTCTGAAAACGGGCCATGACTCTATGTTCTCCCCATCTTTGGTGCCCACAACAAAGATAAACACCATATAAACAGTTTTATTGGTGTCTTCAAATTTACACATACTTTCCTTGATTATAACATCACACATTTTATCAACGTGGCTTTCTACTTCTTTGTTGTCAGTGGAAGACAATCCAAACAAAAGCATTCTTATTTTGTTTTTCAGTACAAGTGTTTCACCTTCCTCATATGCATCCCAATCCACATCTGACAGGTTGTAACACATTTCCTCTTGGAAAGCAACTGCAGTATGCTTCCAGGTTTGTGCTGTTGATGTCATTGTGAGACCCAAGTCTTCGCAACTGAAACTAAAACATTTTTACAATCAAAGAATGCTATTAAAAATTTCTAGAAGACCTAGTCAACACATATTATTTTAAGACATGATCTTCAAATGTTAGATTACTATTAAAATATTGAAATAACAATTAAAAGCTTTAATTTACTTTGCTACATTTTGTTTTCATTATCGGACATGACATTTCCATGAACCAACTTGCCGTAAGTAATTGCAATCACCGTGTCTCATGTACCTAATAATTGAATACTCTTAAATATAACCCATAATCAAATTGAAATTTCATTATTAAAACTTTCATTGCTGGGAATTTATCAAATGACAAAATGTGGAAATATTATTTCACATCACATTTCATTTCAATTCCAAGTTTATACTACTAGTGACCATTCTAGGAGTCTCATAGTATTTTTATTTTATAAGTACCTAGTTCATAGATGCCATGCAAAACCTTGTCCTTTAAGATTTTAAAATTACAAAAGTCATTCGGAGATGTCTCAGTGCAAAGGATCTGGATTCAAAACCGCAATACAACGCCACAACACAAACTTCTGATAGAGTAATTGAAAAAATCAAGAAAAACCCAATAGTTAGAAGCACATATTGACGTTCTTATTGAAAT